CAAAGTCTGAATAGAAATGATTACAATATTCTGGCTATGTAAAGGGACTGAACATAACAAGAATACCAAGGGCATTAGAATTAAAAATGCAAATGAGAATGACCTACAGATGACCCCGAATAAGACAGTTCATCCACACACTGGAAGACACTAAGAAGATAGGAAAGAGCTGGTAATACATTGAAACGGAATAAGTGTGGGATGAAGGAAAATTATGAAACCTTCTTGTCCTTCAACCTGTATAACACAGAAATAATTGCTAGGAGGAAAAAGGAAAAGCATTTTTATGCCAGGCTTTTAAACTACATTCACAGGATCCACCCATGACATTTTAACTTTGGACAAGGAATTCCAATCACATACATATGTGTAACTACAGTATTAACTATATAATATTTTTCAATAATTGTAGTCATACACGATTCATGTCAGAATCACTTCCAGTATTATATTCGTGTCTGTGTGCCAAATGTGGAAAAGTTTAGCACTTTAAAGTGCAGTCCCAACTATATGTATCACTTGCTTTAACACTGAAGTTGTGCATTTTACACAGACAGTGTATGTACTTCTGTAAACAGGACTAATACAGTGTAAAAGAACTGTGTTTTCTGTGAGGTAGTAGCTGAATTGTTATGAAACTTCAAAGAATTAGAACATTTTTTTCTATATTAGATAAGTTTACTTGGGCATTAAAAGGCAACACGATTATAAATTTCTAACTGAATGCTCTGATGTAGTCTTGGGATCAAAACTGAGTCTGGCTAATGGCTATTCTGACCAAGCAGCTTTCACTGTTTGCCTCAGTCCTCCCAGTCAATAACAGAACACCATCCTTGGGCTATAACCAATTCACATGAAATTAATTTTATAAGCCAAAAGTGACAAGCGTGGTACTCTGGGTTGTAACACTGTGCAGTTTGCAGACAGTCTGACATTTCAGAGGAACATACATCTTCCATCTTCTTGCTGAAGAGCAAGCCAAGTATGAGACCAGCAGAAACAGGTTTGACTTACTCTACAATCCACAAGATGGAGGCAACAAATATGGTCCTCTCAAAAGCCAAGTTCGTGCCAAACTACATGGTATTTTAACCCAGAAAGTTATATTCTTCACAGCAATTCCTGTGAGAACTTCAAAACCAAGAATGATCCTAAAAAATTGTGTAATGTGTCATCAATCAGTAGGTAAGGGCATCTCTGTGTTCTAGCATTATTCCAAGGAAGCACAGGGAAATGGAAATGAAGGCGATGCATTTGAGATCATGATGTCCCTGCTAGAATCAATGCTAAGCCACCCAGCCCCACAATCAAGCTACAGAGCTTTCCCTGCTCGATGCAACTCTCAGTCAGAAACACATTAATGGGTAGTTCACATGCAGTAAGGAAATTTCTTGTGGCACAATTATCGTAATTCATATGGCCGCGTCATAGCTCAAGTGGTTAGTTGCTGGCTTCCCACCGCGACGGCCCAGGTTCGAGCCCGTGCCTGGTCAAGTGGGATTTGTGGTGGACAAAGTGGCACTGGGGCAGGTTTTCTCTGAGTACTTTGGTTTCCCCTGCCAATCTTCATTCCACCAAATTCTCCATCATCATAATCACCCAGGGCAGGTACAATAGGCCAATCAGTGGCCGACGTGCCGAGTGGACACAACTGGGCTCCACCCCCCTCATGCGAATTAAAAAAAATTATAATTTATATAAGATCAGAGTCTCCATGGCAATGAACATTCAGGTTATGGTCTTTTGGGTTATGGCACCAAGTAGTCTGGTGGGTGCAAGGGTAAAACAATAAAGTAAAGTTGTCCCTATGCTTAAGAAATTAAATACTATGCCAAGGCATATGTGGTAGTGGATATATAGAACCACATTTTCTTGACCTCGGTATCAGTTGGAGATGAGTGGTCAGCTTCACGCCCCGGCCGATTTACCCCCAGAGAAAAAGCCTCCAGTACCCCTTACATAGGAGGCTAGGTGATCCCAGAGTCAGTCTGGACACTGTGGACACCAGGAACAGAATGCAAGCCATTCAGCCCACAGCCCGTCACCATACCAACTGTACAAGTGACTGAAAAACTTTGGCTGAAAAATAATTTCTCACTCAGCGTTCATTAGTTGGCTCTGAGAGTGCTGGGTCATTCAGTCACTTGCAGCACAGAAGAAATGCCTAACCTCATGCAATGAATTTATGATCAACATAATCAGTAGGCCATAACAATTAATCTCTATTTTCTATTCATTTTTCCCCCCACATCTGTGCCTAGCCTGTACGTGTTTAGAACAAATAACACACAGGAGGAAATTAAACTTGTTTACTTGGAAGAGGCAAAAACCACACCAAAGTGCAGGAAAATTCTGACCTACATATTCCTGGTGACATAAATATACAACTCATCACCAGATCTTAACATTTTTTACCTCTGGGTAGGTGGGTACCTTGGAAGAACATACTATCTCCATCTTCTACCTCAATGTGTTCCGGCAAAATGTTGGTACCTACCCACCAGACTAGACAGTGTCACAATCCACAATGATACAATGTATAATCCATCCAATTTAAACCACAGTTATCTTGCAAATCCTTACTAAATCGTAATCATAATAAGATAAAAAAAAACTATTTAGCTACAGGTTATTTTGAGCAAATCAAAGAACCTTATAAATTCATTCACTTTTAGAACACCAATCAGTGTACAGAATAACACACCAAAAAAATATGTCCCATTCCTTATTTTACAGTTACTATTAGGCCATGAAAGACAAAAAGACATAAACATAAACCAACCAGGGCTAGGTTTCATAACACTTCACTCCAAAACTTAAAGAGGAAATGAGTGATAATGAGCGTGTGGTATTTCATGGCACCTTGGCATCTGTGGCTACTTCCACCTTGATAAAACTTATGCACCCACTGTTTAGTAAAGTATAAATAAAATAAATTCAGAGGAATCTGTTGCTGTTAATACAGACGTGTAACCACTGCCCTTAATGCAACAACTTATTTCCTATCTTTCATGTATCTTAATACAACATGTTTTGGCTTCACTCGGCCATCATCAGGTGCATACATTCTTGCTATAATTAATCTTAGCATGTCACATATGAATGTGTTGTTATTTTTAATTTTGAGACCTTTAAAATCTTTCATGGTTCCTAAAATTGCTGATTGGTCTAAGGCATGCACTGTCTTCGCTCGCTCGGAAGCCGGGATCGTGGGTTCGAATTCCACTCAGGGCATGGATGTTTGTATGTGTTTTTCTGTCTTTGTCTACAGGTAGAGGCCTTGCGACGAGCTGATCACTCGCCCAAGGAGTCCTACCGAATGTGTAAGATATAGAAAAACCAAAGTGAACGGAGTTCATGGAGGTAGGACTAGGCTCACTGGGGCTGTAGTGCCAAGGGGGGGGGGAAATTGCTGATTAATCCATGCTGTATCTGACTGTCAGGCATGGGTGTTTTGTTTATTGCACTGGTGTGTGGATATCAGCTCCCTGCTAAGTCAGTCTGTTCTGTATGTGTAAAGGTTATGAATGAATCTCCTGGGATAAAATCATATGTAATATGGTGAACCACAGAACTACATGGCGTTATATCCCAACAGGCAAAACTCATCAAAAATTAAAATCATTCTTTTTACTTTTTGGTGTATAAACTGAAGTCCTTAAAACCCTTTATGGAAAAGAAGGGGGGGGGGGATTCTTTAAGAAAAGGGTGTAATTCAGGTAAATTCTGCTCTATAAACAATGGCTACAAAACAAACTTCCTGTAAGAATATTAAAAGTTTGAAACCTGCAGTTCATCTAAATAATACATAAATACTTATTTCAACCACACATAAAGGCATTATATCTACATACATGAAGACTAATCAGTTAATGCTATTTACATAAATAATTGCTGTACATTATGTGTTGGCAAAATTCCTTAGTGTTACTGCAGTGTTGTGCTCTAAAGGATGAAGATTAATTACCTCACATGTTCAACAGAGGATTTGTAATCACCATTAAAATCTCACACATCCAGAAGATAGCATGAAAACTCCTAGTGGTCTTAATTTGCAGTTTTTGTGTTCACGTCCTGATCAAGATAATGTGTTACAATATCATGTCTCAGATATGTGTGTGCATGCACTTGGAAGACCTAGATTTAGATGTGAGAATAACATCAAAATGGACCATATAGAAATAAGATCTGAAAGTATGAACTGGACTGATCTGGCACAGAATAAGGTCCAATAAGGCAGACATTGGTGAATAATGTAATGAAAGAAGAGTTCTATCTTCTGGGATATAACTACATACAGTATGGTGTAAGTGCCACAATATAAAACTCTTCATGGCCAACACTCTGATGATCTCAGATCCAATGTAATTAATGTCTGGGTTCCACTCAACTAGCTCAATACCTAACAAGAAACCTTATACCTTGGAGTCAGCTACTTAGATCTCTGTGACAATGTATTTTAAAATAACCATTTTAGCGCATAGCTATAAATATTACAACTCTACAAATTAATTGTAAACGTCACTGAAATGCAACTAACTAATAAGATTGAAACCACGTTTCCTCTACATCTGCTGCTGTATGCAAAGTCTCAAAATGTGCGGTTCTTCCAAATTCTGTTCGACCTCTCGAAGTTTCGGAATTATAAACCTGTCGAGCAAAAGTATTGACTTTGGGAAACAAAACGATACGGTGCGATATTAAATGTACTGCATCGACAGCCTACCTACGTAACTACTCATTCGTTTGTCCGATGTCTCAGATATGATAACACACCGATTCAAATATCGGTATCTCATTCAGACATAACCAAACTCGTGTCCACATTTAAATCGTAACCACACATCCCATTAACTCTTAACTTATAAATTTCTAATTTTGTGCCTTAAAATCGATAGTGAGAAACAACACCTACTTAACACATTAATTTCACAATACATTTATTCCAAAACGTGTTTCACAAATAAGAATTCCTCTCATAATTTCGTAACTGAACTCACCTTACAAATACCTGTGCCGTTCAACACTACTAAGGCGCACGAAATAAAATCCTCCCTCGTGTAAATCGAAGTTATGCACACTATACACACACCATCACAGGTACAGGTATTAACAACAAAACAAATTATTATCACACATTCCTTCACTACAAAACAATGTCAACATTAACAAAAAGAAATTACACTTCACGTCCTTTTCTTAATAGACATGCTGCAAGTCTCTCTGGTGATAACTTCCCGAAACTCATTTCAAAGCTTGACCAATAAGAGTTCAGTCCGATGGATCAAGCACAAACTTGAGTATGCCGAATGTTGAAAATGGAATACCAGTACAAACTGAATTAAATACTGACGATAAAAGCCTAACTAAATACTTCATAATGTAAGCAATTAGTAATATTCACCTACAAATATTAAAAAACGAACTTCATGTCTCACTTAGCGTAGTAACTTGTCGCTGCTGCTCTCTGTGACCCACTTGTAAAATTATTTCCTCAGTTCGCAACAGATGGCACAAGTGACCACTAATGCGTGCTGTATTTTTAGTCCCTTCGGCCCGTTTCCGCCTTCCTTTCATTGAGTTCTCATCTCTTTTCTTATTTCTCATTTTCTCTTTATCTCGGAACTTATATGTAGACGATTGATCAGTTTCATGCTCCGGCCTTTATTAACTCCCTATGAAGACGTTCATTCAACCGACACTCCAGAACCGTTCTGGGTACATAATGAAAATGTTTCCAAAATTCTGCCGTGTCACTTAAAGACGGCGAGTTTCGAAAATAATAAACACGTAGTTCCGTCAATATAGCTATTAGGCTACCGGCTGCACGACAGAGAAAACGGCATTCAGTTACTGACTTTTCTTTACCACAGCTTCCACTCCAGCTCTAGTGCCCATCCAGTTACCTACCAAATGGATACCGGTGGTAAATGGGAAGGAACGCGAAGGTGACTACTCACATCCATGCAATGCTGACATGAAGAATGTGAGGAACTGTTCCCCCATTCACCACATGTTTTAGCACCACAGTAACAAATTAATTTACTTACTCCATGCAGCCGAGTTCATCTTGAGAAGCTGACATTCCCTCAAATTCTCAAGAAATGTCTTGTCTTTTATGAAACCGGAATGCTCATTATCATGTGTACAAAAGTTTGCCACTCCGTGGATAAGAGCCGTTCTTGAAAATCTAATACTCGCTCCGCTGGTCAAAATATTCTGTTTTTTCAAAGTTTTATATTTGATTAATTAAGCGCCATGACATGAGGACGTACACAGGAGCGATGTGACAGCTTTACGCATTCTTAAAATCGATAGTAGGTGGAAGTTTGTGATAAGATTCATGACACAGCCGCTTTACCCCCGGTGATTCATCGGTAATCACTGGGCAGCCGGCTGGGTGAGGCCCAGAGCCTGTCTGGACGCTTTGGAGAAAATAAATAATATCTCGTCAGGAATCAAGATACGGTTCCTCGGTCGTTCATCTAGTAACCTAGACACTTTACCGACTCAGTTATTCCGGATGCTTCCGCATTGTATGGAACCCAAATGATCATTATCGTGTTCTCAAGAGCTCGTCATAGATTGTACAAGAACCAAGGAATCCACAGAGTCCGCTTTTCTACGTCGTATTTCGTGATGCGACATTTGTTTACGATGAGGAATTTTACCCCTTAACAGCGACCGGGGCAGTTGTTCTCAACCTCGGGTCGTGTGCCCTGAAGGGACGTGATTGAGTCACTGGAAGGACTAAGACCATGAGAAAGATGAAGTTAAAATTTAAGTAATATAAAAAAATAAATAAATAAAGAAGAAATTTATCTCCTACTTTCCTTTGATATGACACGGAAGGGACGTGATTGAGTCACTGGAAGGACTAAGACCATGAGAAAGATGAAGTTAAAATTTAAGTAGATATAAACAAAAATAAATAAATAACAAGACATTTATTGCCTACTTTCTTTTGACATGACACGGACAGCACAGAAAATGACGGTCCAACAATTCTTCTATTGTTGTGTGTGTTTTCTTTGAAACGGTGACGTTTTTACCGAGAGGCTGGCTAGCAGTGACAGGAGGGATACACATACAGACACACAGACTGGTGGGAGGGATTTAAGAAGTACGCAATCAAGATGGGTTCAGGTGCTATAATATACACACCAAGTTTCATAAAGATTGGATCATGCATTAGAAGTTGATGCGGGGGGACACAGACAGAATGGTAACCTCATTAGCGATTACAGTTAAACATTTTGGATGTAACCCTGTGTAGACCGATAGAACCGCATCGAATTTCGGAGAAATATATTGCCTCGTTCTTGTTTACAACCCATTTGACTTACTCTTCGTTCCCGAAGATGGAGGCAGAATGTTCTTCCGAAACGTCGGTGAACTTCTGCCGGACTACAATGCGTCACATCCTAGAAGGGAGTACTTCGGTTGAATGACTGGGATTCGGACTGTATGGTCGAGGAATTAGGGTTCGAGTCAAGCCCGTTTGAACAATTCTGTCGCAACACAACAATACAATGGTCCAGGCTAAAATTAGCTTAGCTCGTTTGAGCTGCAGTATACTTTATCTTGTATATTTAGCACAACGTATGTTATTAGAATTAGATCCAGTTATCAATGACAATTAGTATTGTGCAATTCTTCAATTCATCTCATATTTGCAAAATTCGCTGCACCTGATAATGGTCAATAAAGATACGAAACATGTCGTTGCTATTTGCTGATATACCCATACTGCTGTGGAAACAGTTAACCACAACAATTAAATTACTATCTCAGCAATCTGCAAGTAACAGACGGAACCGTTGTTAAGTAACGATTGTTGATATGAACTTTTCCAAACATCGAGTCCAGTTGGTACGTACGTAATTCGACAAACTGAAAGAGGAATATAATACTAGAGACAACTGAAAAGAATACCACAACCGGATATTTCTCTGCAAAGGTTTGTGTAATGTGTGACAGGACATATTATGTACATATCATACATTTTATAAATCAGACGATTTCAGCTATGTGGGTGGGTTATTCAGTAACTAGACAATATACAAGGTTACTACAAATGATTCATTCCATTTCAAAACATTATATTTTCCAAAATATTATACATTCAAACATGAATGATACATGAAAGGAGCCGCAAACTCACCAAGTTTATATCGTGATACAGCAGTTGGCAGTGTGAGTGCAGTGCCTCATAAAATGGCGACGAAGTTGGAAAAGAGTTTGTGTGTGTGTGTTCGCTTGCCCCCCCCCCCATTTCGCCTGATTTAACGCCATGTGACTTCTTCCTTTGGGGATATGTAAAGGACCGTGTTTACATGCTCCTACTGCCAACAACACTGGTAGAGTTCAGGGAGCGCATTAATTCTGTTGTGAAGACCATTGGCAAGGGAGTGCTGCAAAATGTTTGGACCGCACTCGACTACCGTTTGGACGTGTATCATGTGACCAACGGGGCATACATATAACATTTGTAATTTGGTGAGTTTACGGTTCTTTTCATGTATGAATAATATTTTTATGTATATTACTTTGGAAAATATAGTGTTTTGAAATGGAATGAATCATTTGTAACAACTCTGTAGTATAGAACGGTATTATAATCGATGAATTATGCATCGCAAAGGACTTGGAAGGAACCGTTAGTAATTAATCGAAGTACCATCACGGAAGAGATTCGAACAGAGAAGCTCCAAAATATAGGTCAAGGGCGTTGATTCTAACCTAAACTGTTCAGTCGGCTTTCGTTGCTTCATGTAGCTCTTAATGTGAACAGAACTATTTTCAGCCTACTTCCATTATTTTGACACAAGAAATTTTGTGAAGATCTATTCGCATAGGTTTCTTTGATACAACATGGACTTCATAGAGAATGACTCCAACAATTCTTTGTTGCCGCGGGAATATCTTTACAGAGTTTTTACCTAGCAATGATAGGGCAGTACACAGAAAAACCTAGAGACACACAAGTCCAACAATTATTGTATTGTTACGTGTATTCGTTGCCGCGGGTACGTGTTTACCGAGCCATTTGACTAGAATCGAAAGGAGTGAGGCACTTTTCTCAGCATTAACCTAGCAGCGATGTACGCCGTTGGGATGGGCTCAGCTGCCATGATCTACATACCGTGTTTATTAAGGACTGGTTCAGGCATTCAAAAGTTAATATGCGGGGATTCACAGACACACAGACAGCATGGAGACAGCGTAAGGATATTCCTCAATAACTCCGTCTTTCCGTGTGTTCGCAACTTTGATACTCATAGTAGCCAGACTGTTACCCACAAACACTGCATTAACTCCATGGAGCTAAGCTCTCCTTTAAAAAGCTAATGGCTGGTCAACTATTATAGAAATTTCCAGCATCTTACGGAACCCGACGTTCATTATTGTACTCACAAAAGCGCGTCACTGGTCCCTACCCCGTGTCAGCTGAATCCATTGATCGCACTCGTATCCTATTTCATTGGGATAAATTTAATATTTTCATCCCATAAACATAACAGAGACACCAAGAATTGCCGTGCGGCTTCCGCCGTTCTGGGCCGACAGACCAGCAGTTTGGTTCGCTCAGGTCGAAGCACAGTTCACTTTGGCCGGCATCAGTAGCGAGCAGACGAAGTTCTGCTACGTGATCTCGCAGTTGGACCAACGTTACGCATCGGAAGTAGAGGATATCATCACCTCTCCACCCGAAAGAGGCCCCTACACCCTACTGAGGACCGAGCTTGTGAGGCGGCTATCCCCATCACCAGAGCAGCGCATCCGGCAACTCCTCACGGTCGAGGAAATTGGCGACCGTAAGCCGCCCCCCCCCTATCGTGGTGGGGGATTTGAGTATGCCAGGGACCCTGAGAGCTATACCAGCGGTAGCGTAGCTACTGGCAGGGCCTCCCTTGCTGGACAGGTCAAAGGGTAGGCATCAGACGAAGAGAGACACCAAAAACTGATGCCGGAAGCAGCGTCATCAGCAGCGACTTGAAGCACAGAGCAAATGATGCTCGAGATGGTTCAAGTTCGTATAGCAACAGGCGTGACCAGAGTGGTTTGAACGGCTGCTGTACTGCGATGTGGAAAGCAAATGGAAAAATTACCACATTATCACTTTTCCTGGATAGTCTCTTTCCAAAAACAGAAGATCGCATTAAGTGGAGGAACTGTTTTGGAAGAGACTGTGGACCTGTCGTCTGACAGATTACTGATGAATGAATGAAACATATATGTTTTCCTAGGTGTCCCTTCTATTAAGGTTCATCTAACAAAATATAGGACAAACTTCTCTCTTTCTCCCATCATGCTACATGTCCTACCCGACTCATGCCTCTTGATTTCAACGTCCAAATAATTTTATCGAAGAATACCAGTTATTAAGCCTTCAATATGCAGTTCTCTCCAGTCTACTGCTACTTCCGCCTTCTTAGGTCCAAATATTTCCTTCAGCACCCTGCTCGTACTTCCGTGTATGTTTTCCCCTTAATGTGAGAGTCAAAGTTTCACACTCATGCAAAAATAAAACAAGATTATGGTTTGTGTATATCAAATATCACATTTCTCTCCCATTTCAGCATCAAGATGAATAACGACGGTATGGCGGCGAGCAGCTCTGAGCCACAGCCAGACCAGCAGCAGAAGACCGACATTAGACAGCTTCCTGATGTGAATGCCAAACAGCCAAAGGAAATCTTCCCCTTTGTGGGTGCCTATCTTCCAATTGTTCCTATAGAAATCCTTCCAAGTGAAATATATATGACTGCAAGCACAGGCACGACTCCAAACATTGGTAGGGTTGATCTTCCGCATTCCTTAAACATTAACGGCGGCACCACTTTCACATTGGATTCAAACAGAATGACACCAGATCGAGACTTAAGTGGCTTATTTCCGACTCAATACATGGGTATGAGACCGACCACATATTTTGGTCAAGGTCCAGGAGAAAGGTTCACATTAACAGATTTCTTCAAACCTACCAATTACCCTGTAAGATCTGAACCTCCACATTTGGGCCTCACGGATTTGCATAAGAGTCAAGATATTACTATGAGTCCAACCACATACTTTGGTCAACAGCAAGGAAACAAGATCGACGAAACAAGTTTCTTCAGGCATCCAAACTATCATCAAAAATTGACAGATCCAAACCAGGACAGAGGGGGATCTTCAATGACCAGGGCTCCAAATATTAACATGACACAGAACACACATTCTGGCCAACATCCATGGAACATTTTGCCCATAGCACCTCCCAGAATTATGCCAATTGGATCCTTTTGGTACTTCCTTCCAGAAAGTGACATGACTCCGGCAACACATTCTGGTCAACATTCATCGAACATTTCGCCCATAACACCTCCCAGGTTGATGCCAAGTGGATCCTCTGGGCACTTCCTTCCAGACATTAACATGACTCCGGCAACACATTCTGGCCAACATTCGGGGAACATTTCATCCATAACGCCTCCCAGCATGATGACAACTGGGTCCTCTGGACACTTTCTTCCAGATATTAACATGACTCAAGAACCACATTCTGGCAAACATCCATGGAACCTTCCTCCCATAACACCTCCCAGAATGATGCCAATTGGATCCAATTGGTACTTCCTTCCAGAAAGTAACATGACTCTGGCAACATATTCTGGTCACCATTCATCGAACATTTCGCCCATAACACCTCCCAGGTTGATGCCAAGTGGAAACTCTGGTCACTTCCTACCAGATATTAACATGACTCCGGCATCACATTCTGGCCAACATTCGGGGAACATTTCATCCATTACACCTCCCAGCATGATGACAACTGAGTCCTCTGGACACATTAACATGACTCCAGCACCATATTCTGGCCAACACTCATGGAACATTTCGCCCATAACACCTCCCAGGTTGATGCCAAGTGGATCCTCTGGGCATTTCCTTCCAGATATTAACATGACTCCGGCAACACATTCTGGCCAACATTCATGGAACATTTCGCCCATAACACCTCCCAGGTTGATGCCAAGTGGATCCTCTGGGCATTTCCTTCCAGATATTAACATGACTCCGGCAACCCATTCTGGCCAACATTCGGGGAACATTTCATCCATTACACCTCCCAGCATGATGACAACTGAGTCCTCTGGACACATTAACATGACTCCAGCACCATATTCTGGCCAACACTCATGGAACATTTCACCCATAACACCTCCCAGTATGATGCCAAGTGGATCCTCTGGGCACTTCCTTCCAGATATTAACTTGACTCCGGCAACACATTCTGGCCAACATTCGTGGAACATTTCGCCCATAACACCTCCCAGGTTGATGCCAAGTGGATCCTCTGGGCACTTCCTTCCAGATATTAACATGACTCCGGAAACAGATTCTGGCCAACATTCGGGGAACATTTCATCCATAACACCTCCCAGCATGATGACAACCGGGTCCTCTGGACACATTCCTCCAGATATTAACATGACTCAAGAACCACATTCTGGCAAACATTCATCGAACATTTCGCCCATAACACCTCCCAGGTTGATGCCAAGTGGATCCTCTGGGCATTTCCTTCCAGATATTAACATGACTCCGGCAACACATTCTGGCCAACATTCAGGGAACATTTCGTCCATAACACCTCCCAGCATGATGACAGGTGGATCATCTGGGCATTTAATTTCTGGGAACAACGAGAATCCGTGTTAGTGAGCGTGGAAGAAACAAGGCTCCTTGGTCTCCGCTTCAATCCAGGCATCAAAACCAATAGAGGAATGGATATTTAGCGTCCAGCGCTCCAAAGATTAACATTAACACTGTAGCACATTTTGGCCAACATTCAGGGAACATTTCCTCCATAAATCCTTTCAGCATGATACCAAGTGGATCCTCTAGCGCTTTAGGTATTATTGTGAGCACAGGAGATGTTTCCCCGATGTCGGATATTGCACAGTCTCATGTCGACAGAATCACATAAGATCGCGACTTTAGGGACTCGACTGGGACTCAAAATATTAGCATGAGTCCGACTGTATGTTACTCAGGGTGAAGGAAACTACTCGATCATCTCAAGAGCACGCCCATCTGAAATTGTCTCAACTTGGGCCCCAAATGTTATTGGCACATCTCTTTCATGTTATGACATTTCAACATGTGGAAAATGGCGAATTGCACCCCGACATGTGACCGCTGCTTCTGGAAGATGGGCGTCATCTCGTCCAGTAAAGAAGTCAACTGTTCTCGTATTATTAGCAGACGATGAAGTGCCGAGCTCAGGAACTTCAAGGACGACCACGGCGAGCGTTTTACTTTCAGAAGCGACGATAAGCGGAGTTACGAGATGAATTGACACATGAAAGGACCAACATTCAAATAGCTCGCCAGAAAATTATGCTAATAACTGAAGGTAAGTGATGGTGTTCTTATTTAATTAAGAAAGATGTTGAAATCTGAGAGGTGTTTATCGAAGGTAGACGTGTATTTGCGAAATATGTGTGCATGATATGAACTCATCATTGGAGACCTGACCGTCCGAGCCTTCAACATAAAAGTTTCCATACGGATTTAAATTAAATTTGTTCTGAGGATCTCACTAAATCTTTCGGCCAAACTTTGTTTTATTTTTTATTCTATATCAGCCCTATAGGATCGGTATAGCCACTGGATACGGGCTGGACGACTGAGAGGTCGGGAGTCCGAGTCTCAGTACTGGAAAGCGTTTTCTTCTATCCTCGTCGCCCAGACCAGTTCTAGGGCCCACCCGACATCCTACCCACTGGGTACCGAGGGCTCTTTCCCCCGGAATCAAGCGGCCGGGATGTGAAGCTGAACACTCATCTCCCAGTAAAGCCGAGGTCAAGAATACGTGCACCTGTACAGCTACTCCCCTTATACGTCTTCATGGTGGAGTGCTTAATTAGTTAACCACGATCACTTTATCTAAATTATCAGCCTTATACGAAACCTTAGATTACTTGAAGCTTATTTCTTTTTTTATTGTTGTGGGGTGGGACTAAGTCTCTTGTACTGCGGCCGCTTCTGGCCCAGATGACAGTTGAGGTTGATTGTGGAGCAATTGGTGAAATGAAGATTGGCAGGGTAAACCGAAGTCCTCGGAGAAAAGCTGCCCCAGAGGCACATTGTCCACCACAAATCCCACTCGAACAGATCCGGGATCGAACCCGGGCCGCCGTAATGGGAAGCCAGCGACTAACAGCTTGAGCTATGGCGCGGCCTACGTGAAGCTTAACTAGGCCTTCGCGAAATTCATTTCCTTTAAAAAAAAAAAAAAATGAATTGTGCATTTGTTTCCCAAATCTACGAAAAAGTGTTTAGGTGACACAGAAGGTAATGGGTAATCCAAACGTTTTGTCAGTCTCGCGAAACATCCACTAAATAACTTCGAAACATTTAGGACTAGTATGCCTCCACAGTCATGTACTAAACGTACACAATCAGGCAGACTTTCAGCGGCTGAACTGAANGTCGTCTTCTGGGTTTTGGCGCCGTGTATTCTTCGTTTTGGCCGACGTTTCGGAGGAACGTATCGCCTCCATCTTCAGAGCAGGTGAATGGTTTGTGAATGCAGAGAGCAGTAGCTGTAGCTACTGCTCTCTGCATTCACAAGCCATTCACCTGCTCTGAAGATGGAGGCGATACGTTCCTCCGAAACGTCGGCCAAAACGAAGAATACACGGCGCCAAAACCCAGAAGACGACTTTCTTCATAGTCATCGCCATGAAAACCTCAAAACTTACATAGGAACAGCTGATTTAAAAAAAATATTTGAATGTCGTTGGTCCAATTCTCACTCGTGAGTCACAGGTATGATCACTGGAAGGCAGATATTTGTATTTGTATACTAGGAAAAAGTATATTTAACATATTTTGGCCCGCGGATAAATACCTATGTTAGAATGCGACCCCCAGTTGTTTCGGAAAACCCCAGTGTGAAGTATTTATTTTCACATTTTGATACCAATCTAATCAGAACAAAACAATTTAAATTCAAGCTTGGTACTTGTATTAAGGATGACATAATTTGACAGCAATGCTGCAGCTCAGGCAATTAGCCATCAGCTTCCCAAAGATGGACACAGTTATCTCCGAGGCGGTTTTTCTACAAGAACTTCGATTTCCCCTCCCAGTTATCATTCCACCAACTGCTCCGCATTCATTAATAACAATCCTATCATTGACGCTATATAGTCTTGACACTGTCAACATAGTTAAATAAGTAACTTGAAAATATGTATATAATTTAATTGATATTCTTTATCCAAGGCATCCTTGAGAATACTCCGTACCTTGAGGAGGCAAGCTAATAGGAGAGAAGTCGTATGAGTACAACAGTATCTTCAATATAGACATTTTCGTTCATACCACATGTTGAAAATGAAATTCTGATGAAGATGATGTAACCATCTAATTACTCCTTTATGACGCATCTTAAAGAACGTTTTTAACAGGGAATAGTTACAGAGAGGAATGTCTGCTTTGCAGGATATCCAAATGCTGAGGGATACATGCCGGAGGAGGACCAAGAGGACTGAGATACATATCCACAAGACAATGAAGTCCAAACTTCATGTCCACATGATGAATGTAACAAATATGAACTTCGTCCCAACTTCAAAGGATCCATTAACATATAGTACACGTATTTCCGAAAGTTTCATTAAATAATACAGCTGCTGATTTATACAGGTCATCTGGTGTTGTGAGGGCAGTGAAGTTTAATAGGTTATGAAGATCAGCTGGAAACACAAGGATCTCATAAACAAAATTCATGGCGGAAGTTCCGGTTCCGGGGTTTCAGACATTTTGGGCTAACAAACGAACATCTCTTCAGTCGGATTACCACATACTCAGAGAATGTTATCCCGACGCAGACACCCAATACAGATTCAAAGTTTTATGTGACATTGAGGATGTGACTGGGTAAACACCTGCTGTTGTCGGAGAGCGTACAGAATGAACGGCAGTAGTCGAAGCTGCGGAAGAAAACAGGGCTAGCTATTGCCAGGTCTTTCCGGAAAAGCACTCTTCAGTGCACTGTATGACACATATACAGTCATATTAAATGAATTAAAAGCATTGTTGAAGGCCAGCACCAGTGCAGACAAGAGCACCATACCACAAGCCACGAAACAGCCTACTCAAGAGCAAGGTTTCCAAGAATTTCGAAGGCGCAAACGACACAGCAGCAACAAGACGACCCGAACTTCAAAGAAACCAGTGGAGACGGCACTATCTGTCGCAGTAAACACCAACCCCAAGTCGGTGGCCACCAGAAAATTCTTTGACCTTCTTGGAACATCCAGCATGAACACAGATTCTTTCGGCAAGGAGGCGAGTCCCCAAGAAGAGGCAACTTGTGGTGAAACACGTAGGCTGTCCCCATTAGTGATAACTGTCGCAACAAACCTGATACAGTTATAAAAGGTCATTAAGAGTGTGGTAAAAAAAGACTTTAAGTTCCGAAACACCAGGAACGGAACCAAGGTATTCACTAAAATCTTGGAGGATATTCTGCAGTCAAGTCCCACCTTGATACCCAAAGCGTTCCTTAATTTACCTTTACACTAAGTCCCTAAAACCCATCAAGGCCGTAATACGCCACTTCCATATGGACACCCCAGCACAAGACATCTCTGATGGACTGGTGGACCTATGCTTCGACATTATCAGCGTCAAGCAAATGTTAACCACTCGTCGGTCATTGTCCGAAGGAATAAAAAAAAAAAAAGAAGCCTACTCCTCTTCCTCATTACCTTGCCTAGAACAGCAAAGTCCCAAGAGATATTTCAACTGACAGCCCTCTGCCACATTTCCATTAGGGTAGAGCAGTTTTCTCCCGACCTTTTGAAGCCCAAGGACCAGTAAGACATCTGAAAATTCTACTGACCACTAAGTTATGTAGTCCTATTTTTTAAACTTATGTGGTATTATCAATATTCGGGACATACTGTGATATTTATAACATAATAAATCTAAAAGCATGTTCTGAATACATATGGAAACATAATTAATTAAATTGTAAGTTATTAAAAGTTAATCATCATTGAACAAAATTTTAATCTTTATTAAATAAATAAAGAATATGATATAATTATGTTACTACTTTTAATGAGATTGTTGAGCTTGTCGGCCCTTACAGAGTTCCTGGGTATCTGGCTCAATATTGGTCAACTTCAGTCGAAGATCGGCTCTCACACTAAGACGATTTCTGTATTTCGTTTTTAATTGAAGGAGCGATGGAAGTACTTACTCACAGAGAGAACTGCGTGACAATTTTCAATGCGTCTGATAATTAATTCGGGAAATTCACTTCTTACTAAAGGCGAGATCCAGAATCGGACCCATCCAAGTTCACGAAATATCATTTTAAGTCCACTGTCACTTGAAAGCTCAATTAACTATTTATTTTTCGATAACGAAAGGTCATTCTTATGATTGTAAGCCTGAAATGGATCGTGAACCCACAGAAAATTCCCGTAAATGTTATTCGGAAAATACGTTTCAAATTTCTCTTTCACAGTTTTGAGGTGGTCACACCCTTTCCAGAAAATCAGAGTCAAGAGAAATATAATTTTCCACTAAAAAGGATTCCAATGTTGGAAAGGGTGCAAATAATTTGACTTTTACATAACTAATCCATAACACCAGTTTTTTTTCTCGAATGAAGATATACTGAGCGTTCGCTGAAGGAGAAAAACTGTATAACAATAAACACCAAGAAATTGGTTGAAATGTGGATAAAACATGTTTACTTCAAATCTAACAAAACAGCAAGGGAAGGCGGGAGCCATAAAACCATAATATTGTTTACTGCTGCCCCAATTCATTAGCCCTCTTTCTGCAGTTACCATTTATCGTGAGGTCCCTCCTCTGAAGTTAGTGACAATGCAGTCGCACCCTCATACCCTGGAAATACCGGATTCTTGTCTGGTCATTGAAATGTTCATGGAAATTAGAAAGCTTGTTTTTTTTTTTCAGTATCCATTTCATTTTAACAATTTTGACTTGCTATTTAATTTTAATTAGCTTGTACTCTTCTCCAAGAATAATTACAATGATCAAGTCAAGGAGGATGAGGTGGAGAGGGCATGTAGCAGGAATGAGGGAGGTAAAAAATGCGTATAGGATATTGGTGGGAAAGCCAGAAGGAAAGAGACCACTGGGAAGACCAATGCGTAGGTGGATGGACAATATTAAAATGGATCTTAGAGGGATAGGATGAGATGGTATTGATTGCATTGATCTGGCTCAGGATAGGTACCAGTAGAGGGCTCTTGTGAACACGGTAATGAACCTTCGGCTTCCATAAAATGCTGGGTAATTCTTGAGTAGCTGCAGAATTGGCAGCTCCTCCAAAATGGCTCAGCTCCATGAGTAAGTAAGTAAGTAAGTAAATTTAATTTTAATTTGTTTTGTTTGGATAATTTTTAATTTAATTTCATTTAAGGATGCTTGCGGACCATCTGTCCCATCATCGCGGACCACGGGCTGAGAAACATTGGTTTAGACAACATGCTAGAGGCGGAAGGTCGCAGGTTCAAGTCCCGATGAGGTCATGGGATTTTTTTCAATTGACCTATTCCTTCCGGCCGCACTATGGCCCTGGGGTCGACTGAGCGTCTAACAAAAATGAGTGCCAGGAATAAATTAAACAAATTTCTTGGGGAGTAAAACGCGGCCGGCGCGTTATGCTGACAATCTTACCGCCATCTTTGAGCCGATTGTCTATATAATGCGGGACCCTCAACGTGTAACAAGCCAATTGGACATCACGGCCTGTTGCAGGGATAGCTTTACTTTTTTTTTTACTTACTAAGAACATATGGCATATTCTCCCTCCTTTACAGTACTACGGAAAATCTGTGGCATGAACGAAATCCTAGTTTTTAAATTATTATTGAAGCCAGAATTAAATACGTTAGTCATGTTTCGCGTATGAAATTCAATGTCCTATATTCCAGTGGAGAATGATTACAAGTAGTGCTCCTACTATACTCCTTGATGGTGATTTACTGTGACCACTGTGACGACTGTGAATGGCATAAAGTTTCAGTTCGAGTCCTTGAGGATAATCGATAATCGATACCGATTGATACCGATCGATACGCTCGATTCCACGACGAACGAAACGAAAAAGGGAGGCATTGTTTTCGCCAGTAAAAATGGCAAATTTGAGGCAAACTCCTTTGACGTGTAGTGGACATACAAGACCAGTAGTGCATTTAGCATTTAGTGATGTAATTGAATGCGGCTATTTTCTCATTTCAGCTTGCAAAGGTGAGTCGTGTTCTAAAGTAGTAACCTTATTAAACTTTCATAGTTCACCTTGGCCTCATTTACTCATGACGAGTCCGAAACTTATGGTTTATTTAAACAATGTTTTGAAACTCAGAAAGCCATATTTTGAGTGGATACAAGTATTTATGCTCCCCTCTAAATTATAGGGCTGTTGTAAAGGCATATTTTTTTATTATTAAATTTAGAACGTAAAAGTCTGGTGATAAAATGCGTAATAATACGTTTGTTTGCATTAAGTTTTTAGATAAGAAATCCAAATACACGTATTTCTATAAGAAGGTTATATTTAAGTTTTCGTAATCTAACAGTCATTAATGTTGCCACCAGATGGGAAACCAATGCTACGACAAGGGGATACGGGAGATTGGATTGGCACCTTTGAAGGTCACAAAGGGGCTGTGTGGGGAGTAGCCTTAAACCCTCAGGCAACCAGGGCTGCCACAGGAGCTGCAGATTTCAATGCAAAAGTATGGTATCTTACAGATGCAAGAAATGTTAGCTTTTGATAAAAATATTGGTAGAAGATTTATCTCAAAAGAGTTGAGAATTTTTGTTTCTTGTGCTAAGTCGTTTCAGATTTACAGGTCTGGGATGCTGTGTCAGGGGAAGAAATCCACTCCTTTCAGCACAATCACATTGTAAAGAGTGTAAATTTTTCATCTGATAGCACCCTGTTTGCAACTGGTAGCAATGAGAAACTTGTCCGCATATTTGATCTCAATAAGCCTGAAGCAAGTGAGTAAACATGTCCTAATGTAACTTTGTGTGGCTTTTGTAATGTGTAGGTAAATATCTTCCTAACAGTGATGCATTAAAATAAATGTCAGTATTAGTTTGGATCTTTTATATTGGCCTGAGTTTTTTTGTACACAGAATTTCAGGAAATGGATTTTTATTTCTTTGTCTTCAGGAGTAAGGGAAGGATGGTTCCTACTCACTTAAGCCTGTTAGAAAAAGCTGGTCTCCCATCAGTCGAAACTGAAAGCAGTTGTAAGCAGAGAATATTTTCTCTTACAGTCAAACGTCATTAATAAGACATAACAATAGGAAAATTAACTAAGTAACTATATGGAGCTGAATACTTCTTGAGAATCTTATAGTTGCTCAGCTACTGAAGATATTCCAGCATTTAATGGAACCTAAGGTGTATAGCCATGTTCACAAGAGCCCCCCACTGGTCTCTTTCCTCAGCCAGAATAATTCAGTCCACACCCTCCAACACTGTGCCTTTCAGTATCTGTTTAAATATCCTTCCATCTATGTCTGTATCTTCTCAACAGTCTCTTTCTTTCAGACTTTCCTACCAAAATTTTGTATGCACTTCTCTCCTATATGTGCTACATATGCCCATCTCACCCCCCTTTAATTTGATCATTCCAATATGTGGTAGGGAGTAGAAATTATGAAGCTTCTTATTATGCAAATCTTTTCAGTCTCCTGTTACTTCATCCCTCTTAGATTCAAATATTCTACCCATCACCGTTTTCAAATACTCCCAAGTTTGTACTTCTGCCTTAACAAAATAGGGAGACTGCCAATTTTTATTGGCAGTTTTTTCTTTCTGACATTAGCAGTAAGGAGCTGAGATAGCTCTGTCGGTACAGTGACAGGCTATGGGTTGTATGGCTGGGTTCAATTTCCAACAGGCAAAAAATTCTCTACTCCACAGCATTCAGACTGGCTCTGAGGCCCACCCAACCTCCTATTCAGTGGGTACTTTGGGTCTCTTTCCCCAGGGTAAAGTATATGGGGGCATGAAGCTGATGATGACACCTCCATTTAGTACCGAGGTCAAGAATGGTGGAGCTGTACCTCCACTTCCCCACATCTCCATGGCACGGTGTTTAAGTAATTGAGGGCAGGGACAACTTTAGCTTTAGAATATATATTTTGCATAGAATTTCTTTAGGCGTCCAGTGATTGAGACAAGGAGCTTCTAACAGACTCAACTGAATAGGAATCATTCCTCCTGTACTCCCGACGGTTGAAAACATTCAGTTTCCAGAGTTGTTCGATAGTGTGCAATATTCAAAATTATAATCATGTTGATTTCAGTAATGCCTCATGAGTACCTTTGCTATTGTACTGATTTCTTGCAGATCCAACAGTTTTCTCAGGTCATACTTCAGGGATTCGACATGTGATATTTTTTCGTGGTGACACACATTTGGTAACTTGTGCAGATGATCGAACGTTAAGGGTGTGGGATCGCACATCTGGGCAGGTATGAACCTTTTAGTACTGAGAGACAGATGTGGGCTTGAACCCTGGCTGTACATCATGACTGTGGACTTCTTTAGCATTTTCTCCTTACATATATCAGCAAATGCCACATAGCAATTGTTGGAAATAATGGTAGTTAAGAATATGTTATGGAAGTGTTCTGTGATTATATAGCACAGGTCAGTTTTGCCACTAGTGATATCTAAAGAATTCAGACTCTGGCAGTATTTTGTGAACACTCTTCATTAAGCCAAATATTTTGACTAATTTAAGTTCTGCTTTTAAACAAATAATTTGAACTCTGATCCAAACAGACCAATTTAGAGATAATGCTTCGTACCTGTAATTAGGAAATGCTTAGTTCAAATCTCAGCCAGGACACTGACTATCCTGAGTAAGTTTTTCTGCAGTTTTCCTCAGTCCCTCCAGCCACATTCCACAGTAATATATCAATTAGGTCATGACTGCTTCCTTCCAAATCTTTTTCTCACCAGTTATTCTATCAAATTATACTGTAAAATGACCATGTGATATGACAATGATCATAGCAAACTGTAGCCATTTAATAGAGGAGATATGCTGATATGCTATTTACATTAAATTGAACATAGTGAATGCTATCTAGTGTGTTTTTATTAATAATTATAAAATTCAACATGGTTTGCTCATAATAGGACTATCAACTGGGCCATCCAATTGCAAAAGAAAAGTTATGTAAATTGACTAAAATAGATCCATACATAAAATACTTAATTAGCATGATACGCAAATGGAGTGTAAATGTGAATTCTGTATATGGTATTATGGAAGACAGTGCAATGTGGAAGTAGGATCATGCTAGAGAAGATTTAAAAGTTCACTCAGTTCTTACTCACAGACAATACATTACATTAATTGGTGCCCTCTGTGGCAGCAAGGCACAGGCTCGTGGGAGACAGTGGTGGCTGCCACGGGCAGTAAAACGGATGTTATACATAGACAAATTAAACATCCAATGTGATAGATAAATGTGGTGGATATGAGCTCCAGTGGTGTCCTCTGTGGCAGTCTGCATGTGAAGATGCGGTTCTTCCTGTCCTATAATGCCAAAAACATATAATTTTAAGGTTAAGTTCTTACTAGAACAAATGTGACTAAAATGTTAACACTGGAGATTGAAATACAGGCATACTTGTGAACTCTGTTTGCAGGAAGTGCAGAAGTTAGACTTTAGTGCTATCCCAAGCAGCTTGGAGGTGTCTCGTGATGGTTCAACACTCACAATAACACATGGCAATGTTGTCAGCTTTTGGGATGCACAAAGGTAAGAATTATGCCTCTCCTCAGCATTATGTGGAAGCGAATGTAACAGAAAGACAAAGTTGTTCTCGTGACACCATAAATATGCATAGAGGATTGGAGGTGTGGCTCCACACATTCCTAACCTTGGCACTCGACAGAAATGATCAGTCATATTCACACTCTGACCACTATATTCTCACGAAAAGAAGCCTTCCACCCATAGGATAGGAGGCTGTGGACCCCAATAAAGTATGGACACTGTGGAGCACAGAATAATCTGTCTCTGCCAGGAATCAAACCTAGATTCCCCAGCCATCAAGGCTGTAGCCTAGTCACTGCAGACTGGTGGATTAATTATTATTCCATTTTGTTCTCAGCTTGAAAAAAATCCGAGAGTTCACGGTGCCAACTCAGGTGAATTCAGCCTCTCTTCATCCAGACAAAACAATTTTTGTATGTGGTGGTGAAGATTTGAAGATGTACAAATTTGACTACACCACGGGAACAGAAATAGGTAAAGTACAGTACAAGGGGCAGCCAGGAGAGAATTTTTTATCCCAAAATTTTTAATTACATCTTTATTGTGTATATTATTATGCCTTCTGCTTATTGCATCATTTATGTTTTATATGGGTCAGTGGATGAAGTCTTCATTATTTGTTTGGTAAGAGAGATAATCTTATATCTGAGCAAATATAGTAACTAGTTTCGGTTTATGAAGATGTGTTCCATGGTCTGTTGCAGAATCATTCAAGGGCCACTTTGGACCTGTGCACTGTGTACGTTTCTCACCCGATGGCGAACTGTATGCATCAGGCTCCGAAGATGGAACTCTCCGTCTGTGGCAGACAACAGTTGGCAAGACATACGGCCTGTGGAAATGTGTAGATAGTAATGCCATATCCACAGAGCCAGTTCCCACACCCAAAGAAGTGCCTGCCAGCTAAAACAATATAGTATTCTGTTACCAGGGTTGAAAAGTGTTTGGAGAGGTTCTATAAAAAATAAATGTAAATGTTATTCTTTCTAAGAGATTGGTATTTTATTTATTATGATATTTTATTGTCACAAAGGTCAGGCATGTGTAGGTTATAGTCTTATAATATTAACTTACTACTGGATGGTGATAATTCTCTTAAATATTATGTTAAAGGATGAGTGCTGAATCTTCTGCGGTGTTCAAAGTACAGCATGCTTCATTGTTACTGAAGAGATATGTTCTTGAAAATGTGCCTCTGTGGTAAGATTACATACCACCAGCCTGTTCTTTCAGTGGCACCACCCATATTATAAGTGGAGGTGCATTCCTACAGGGAATTTTTTGGTGCACAGTTGTAATGAAAACACATTTTTCTGTCCATCAGAAAGAACAGTGGGTACAATTACTGCTTGCAGTTTATCTTGATAGTCTCTCCCCAGACATCTTAACTAAGACTGGAAAGGTGTAATCTGTGTGAGAACATGCAGTTTCCATGTGCATTCTTTGTGCCTTTGCACTGCTAGCTGTTAACAAATAGATTTCGAACACATTAACAATATCGAGTAGATCTACAGCTTTAAATATGTTATACTGCTCCATGCTAAATGTGTCCCACGTGACATCAAAAGATTGGGACTCTTACCATGTCTTTATTGTTGACTTAGAAACAGTATATAATACAGTGCTTCATTGCTTATTTGTTATCAAACCGAAAGCTAAATACAGTGAAACCTCACTAATTTGGAATTTGCAATGATTCAAACTTTATGCAAATTATGATTTTTGATGATTACATTGCAGTGATCAGCAAGATGTAGTAAAAGAACTGTACAAAAGATGAGCACAAACCAAAGTAAGTTAATTTTTTAAACACAGCCTCACTAATACCAAGTGTACAGGCTACCTAATATGATTTTGAGATTTATATCAAAACTTACATTTTTACATTTTATGATATGCAATCTGAGTTTAAAAATAAAGTTGTATTGGCTAAAAAGACATGTGAAGTCCATTTTATAACCTCCCTGAACATATTTGCAATATAATTCAGACTTTCACTGATTTGGACAAGGGTTAACTTCCAATTTGTCTGAATTAGTGACGTCTTACTGTATAGATTTCATGCAGCCGCCATTTTATGTTTTACATGAAATAAACAAATAAATAAACATACCTGAAAAGAAGTTGCATATTTCTCAAAGATATGTTACCGTAAATAATTTCAGGATCCAAATAAAAAGGTGTTAAAAGAGTCACTTCAGTTTCCACGGTTTGTGTTATGTTCGTATTATTGATTGTTGGACATTAAGAACTATGAATTTGGGCTACCCATAAGTGGCATAATGTACTTACCAAGAGTTCACCAGAATCTGTCCAGCAGTTCTTAAATTGACAGTGTTCAGGCTGGATGGCCAGGGTTTAATTTCCTTTGACAGGGGAAAGAGATTTTTCTCTGCTCCACAATGTTCAGACTGGCCTTGGGGCCCACCCAGCTTTTTACCCAGTGGGGTGGGGGTGGGGGTGTTTCCCCCAGATGTAAAGTGGGTGGGGCATGAAGCTGAAAACTCTCATTCATCTAGTGGCAACTTTACCCTTGTACTTTTCTCTTATGGGTAAATTGTATTATACGTATCACAGATGACAGAACTTTTAAAAATTAAAATCCTTCTTGAACTCTTTACTTGTTGGGGCATAAATTCAAGTCCTTCAAAATCTCCATGAAGTGAAACATTCTTTATAAAAGTATAATTCATGTAAATTTTGCTCCATGTACAAAGATTTTAGGACAAAGTTGCCGCAAGAACATTAACCAAATTAAGCATGCAGTTCATCTAAAATGTGGATTCTAAATAATACTTGATTCCAACCACATACAAGATATTGCATCTCAGTTATGAAGACTAATCAATTAATGCTATTTAGAGAAATAATCTCTATTATGTGTTGGCAAAATTCCTTAGTGTAACTCCAATACTGTACTCATATGTGCATTAGTGGCCTAGTGATCTTAAAATCTCAGACATTCAGAAGATAGAATGGAAATTCCAAGTGGTCTTAATTTGCAGTTCTTATGTGTTCAGGTCTTGATCAGGATTATGCGTTACAATAGCATATTTCAGATATGTGTATGCAAGCACTTTGGCAACCTAGATGTGAGAATAACACCACAATGGATCATACAGAAACAAGATGTGATGGTATGAAATGGATTGAACTGGCTCAGGAGAAGGTCCAATAAGGCAGACATTAGTGAATAATGTAATGAACTCTTCGTATGTAATGAACGAAGAGTTCTATTGTCTGGGATATAACTATGAAGGGCATTCTGTATATAATGCCTCCCATTTTTTGTGTTAATATGTAACGTCTGAGCTGGATATTGGTGGTGTTGTAGTAAAGGTTGAACCTTCCCACCAATGTACTGTCAGTTTGGGTGTTGTGCGACAGATAGCGACAGCAGAGCAGTCTACCAAAATGGAGTCTGACATAGAAGTGTGTACGAAACAGAGATGTGTTATTGAATTTCTCACTGCCGAACAAATTACACCCATTGACATCAGTCGACTCTTGCTAAAGGTGTACGAAGACGATACAGTGGATGTCAGCACAGTGAGGCGGTGGGTAGTGCGTTTCAACAGTGGCAAAAGTGAAGTGCACGACAAGCCACGCCCTGGGTGTCCCTGCTCAGCTGCCACTCCTCACAGTGAACAGCACCTTGATCAGCTCATCCGTACAGATCGGCGGATAATGACCAGGGAACTGTGTGCACGGCTTAATATCGGCTGTAATGCATTGGAAACGATGTTGGGGAAGCTGGATTATCGCAAAGTTTGTTCCAGGTGGGTCCCACGGGGACCACAAAACTCACTGAATGGAAGTCTGTCAGGGCTGTTGCACCAGTTTGAGGCTGAAGGTGACATGTTTCTGGACAGCATCATCACCAGAGAGGAGACATGGTGTCACCACTACGAGCTGAAATCCAAAAGAAAGTCCATGGAGTGGTGACATCTGGATTCCCCAAGAAAAGAGAAGTTCAAGACACAGCCATTGGCAGGGAAAGTGATGTGCACGGTCTTTTGGGATAGGCGGGGGGTGATTTTGTTGGATTTCCTGGAGCCTGGTGAGACTGTCGATTCTGAATGCTACAAGATGACGCTGACTAAGCTGAAAGCCCGCATTTGCAGACAACCTTTCGCTTGCAACACGATAACGCTAGACCCCCATACCAGTTTGGCGACCACTGCACACATTGCAAAGTTTGGCTGGACTGTCCTACCACATCCACCTTATAGCCCCGGTTTAGCACCTTCAGACTTCCATATCTTTGTGCCTGTGAAAGATGGACTACGTGGGCAACATTTTCCAGACAACGATGCTGTCATTGCAGCTGTAAGAAAGTGGCTAGCCTCTGCTGGTGCAGACTTTTACAGGCACGGCATACAGGCTCTTGTTCATCCCTGGCAAAAGTGCATAATGAATGGTGGTGATTATGTGGCATAATAATTGTAAGTAGCTCAAATCTTACTCTATTTAACCATATTATTATGCTTTCTGTATCTGTTGTAGTTTTCATTAAAAAAATAGTAGGCATTATATACAGAAGGCTCCTCGTACATGCAGTATGGTGAAAGTCAGTCCCACAATACAAAACACTTCATGGCCACCACTCTGTTGATCTCAGATCCAATGTAATTACTGTCTGTGTTCCACTCAACTAGGACAGTACCTAAAAAGTAACCTACTTAGATATCTCTGTCTATGACAATATATTTTGAAATAAGCATTTTAAATGCACAGCTATAAATATTATAACTAACTGTATCAATTAACTGTACAGATCACTCAAATACAACTGACCAAAACTACTTCATCTGTAAGGAACAGATGGCAAAAGTCACCACTACTTTCTGCCCTTTGTTCATTTACTTTCTCCCTTCTTTCGCATTCTCTTGGTCACTTCCCTCTTTTCAATTTCTCTTTCTTCAACTTGGAACATATATGTGGGCGACTGATTAGCCTAAAGTTCAGGCCGTTTTAACTCCTTATATGAGTTCATTCATCTGGCAATACAGAACCATTCTAGGTACACAACAGAGAATTTCTCAAAACGATGCTCTGTGACATAAAAACGGCGAATTTCAACACTTTTAAACAATTAGTTCAGTTGGTATAGCCATTAGGCTACAGGCTGGATGGCAGAGGAAACGCCAATTACCGGCAGAGACAAAATACTTTTCTTTACCATAGTGACCACTCCAGCCCCAGCACCCATCAGTAGGTTCAGAGGGTAAAGCAGTCGAATCGTGAAGCTGACCACTCACATCAATGCAATGCCAAAGTGAAGAATTTGTAGAGCTGTTCGTCCATTCCCCATATGGTAACAAACTAATTTACTAGCTTCACGGAGCAAAGACCATCTTGAGAAGCTGATCATCACTTAAACATGTACACATGAAATTCCTCCCTTTTTATATAACCCAAAGTTTCATTACCGTGCTCACAAGAGCCCGCAAGTTACACATCAAACTAACTCCGCAGGGAACAGTCCTCCTTGAGAAGCCAGAAGCTGTTCCGCTGGTCAAAAGCTTTCCTGTCCTTTCAAAGATTTATATGTGTTTAATTAAGCACCAAGCAATGAAGACGTATGGGGAAGTGAAGTGAAAGATTCACGCATTTTTAATATCGATGCTAAGTGGAGCTGAGCGATAAGCTTCACACCACGGACGCTTTATCCCCGGCGAGTTACCGGTCTCACTGGACAGCCGGCTGGTTGAGGCCTAGAGACCGCCTGGACGCTTCGGAGAACATAATATTGTTGCGTGTTGTCTATGCGGCGCGACAAATAACTTCACATGGGTCTCGGATTTAGCGGATATTTATTAAACACTCTTAAACACTCATGTACAATTAGTATCACTTCACCTGCATTCTGCGGCGGCTATCATCAAACTGTATCTACCCGTGACTGGATCTCAAAGTCAAAGTCACATTGCGGCTGACGGTCAGTCAGTCAGTAATTCTTCGTGTCGAGCCCCAGTTAATTATTACCGTTTGACAGTTACGTTCTTGTTTCTGTAGGGCGCCCTCTCTGACGTGGCTTACGCTCGTTACCGCGGAAGTGCATTATTCCCGCTGGTTCAACAACCCGTTGCTTAGGAAATTCATTATTTCCCGTTGTTACGTAACGCTTATAACAGTTCGTTGTAACCTTGGAGACTCAGAATTACCATGGAAGTAACCCTTCCTGATTCCAAACACGTGACAATATTTTGTCGGGAATCGAGATGCTGTTCTTCGGTCGTTCAGCCAGTAACCTCGCCACTTTACCCTGCAATTCCGGCTGCTTCCGCCCCTTATGGAGCCCAAATGTGTGTTATCGTGTTCACAAGAGTCCGTCATAGATTGTACAAAAACCAAAGAATTCACAGAGTCCGCTTTCCTTCGTCATATTTCGTAACGCGACATTTGTTTACGACGAGGAATTTTTAACCCCTAGCAAAGATGAAGGCAGAATGTTTTTCGGAAACGTCGACAAACTTCTGCCGGACTACAAGGCGTCACATCCCAGAATGGAGTACTCTTCGGCTGGATGACTAGAATCCTGGCTGAATGGTCGAGAAATTAGGGTTCGAGTCACGCACGTTTAAGCTACAGTTTATCTTGTACATTTAGCACAAGGCATGTTATTGGAATTAGATCCAATTATCAATGACAATTTGTATTGTGCAATTATTCAATTCATCTCATATTTGTAAAATTCGTTGCACCTGATGATGGTCAATAAAGATACGAAACATGTCGTTGCTATTTGATGACATACCCATACTGCTGTGGAAACACTTAACCACAACAATTAAGTTACTAAGTCAGCAATCTGCAAATAACAAATAAGACCGCTGTCAAGTAACGGTTGTTGATATGAAGTTCACCAAACGTCGAGTCCACAGTATGTGTGTGTAATTAGACAGACTGAGGAGTATTGTCACGAAGACCACAACCGGATATTTCTCTGCAAAGGTCTGTGTCATGTGTCATATGTTATTTACATATCATACATTTTATAAATCATCAGCTATTTGAATGGGATATTCAGCAGCTACTGTAGAACGGTAATATATTCGATAATTATGCATCGGAAAGGGCTTGAAAGGAAGCGTTCGTGGTTAATCGATGTACCATCCCGACCGAGATTCGAACAGAGGCGCTTCTGAGTCAACTTTGGTTGCTTCATATATCTTTTAATGTGAACAGAATCATTTTTAGTCTACTTCCCTTACTTTGAAACAAGAAATTCTGACAAGAACTAAAAAGTCGATGTTATGTTACGCCCGACGGTCTGTTAGCAAGTCTGTCTTGGGATAAACCACCCATTTGGGGCTTAAGACCAGATCTTTATTCCTGTTAGACAGTTGCACGCTTGTTGATGTGGGGCGCTCTTCCTGACGAGAGGACGTTCTGTCGTTTGCCAGAGGCACATCAGCAGTAGTAAGTCTGTTGTCAGTACGTACAATTTATATTTTATATGTTATTAAATGTATGTACGTGTGTACAACATACGCAAGGCCTTTGTCAGTCCAGGCTCAGTACAGCAGATCATGCATTATCATTAGTAGCTCCTGCTATTACGGCTATCTAGTTACTTGAACGGTCGTATGCTTGACCACCGCCAAGTTTAAGCCTCTTATATTTCCTGCGTCAGGGTCCGCCTTGATCAATGTTGCGAACATTTGCATTTTCATGATTTTGTATGACTTCTGCTTGTTGCTTGCATAATTTTATTATATACACATAACTGTACGGAAGTTTGGAATCTGTGTGCGCCTTGGAAAAGTTCCAACTATGAGGAAAACATAGTTTAGCATGCGCTGCAGTGTCAGTAGATGGTTGTCTGCCGCAAACTCCCAGGCCGGGAAAGTAAGAAATAATTGCCTACTGTCCTCTGATACAACATGGACCGCATACAAAAGAAGATTAAAGCAAATTTTGTTGCTTCAAGTACGTGTTTACAGAGTTGTTACCTAGCAATGAGAGGAGGGATACATTGACAGGCCCACAGAAACACAAGTCCAACAATTACTCTACTGCTGCGTGTATTCACACAGTATTTATGAAATATACAGCGTAGATGCCGTAGTGCCGTGCTTTGCATACCATGCTTTGTAAGGACTGCTCCAGGCATTCGAAAGTTAATGGGGGGAAGGGAGAATCACAGATACACGGACAGCATGGAGATCGCGTAAGGATACTCCTCACTGGACCCGCCTTACCGTGTGTTCGCGATTTCGATAATCGTAGTGTTCGCGATTTCGATAATCGTAGTAGTCAGGCTACTACCCACAAACACCGCACTAACTCCATGAAGCTAAGTACTCCTTGAAAGGCTAATGACTGCTGAGCTATTACATAAATTCCCAGCATCTTACGGAACTCAACGTTCATTACAAGAGCGTGTCACTGGTCCCTACCTCGTGCCAGTTGAATCCATTGCGCACACTCGTATACTAGTTAATTAGGATAAATGTAATATTTTCATCCCATCAACATATAGGTTTTCCTAGGTGCCCTTCCATTCAGGTTTTTCTAACAAAGAAAGAATGAACTTCTCTCTTTCTCCCATCGTGCTATAAGTTCCGCCCATCTCGTGCTCCTTGATTTCAACATCTTAATAATTTTTGGCGAGGCGTACAAATTATTAACCTTTCATTATGCAGTTTTCTCCAGTCTACTGTTATGCCTTCCTTCTTAGGTCCAAATATTCCCCTCAGCACCCTGCTCCCGAATACCCTTCCATGTATGATTTTCCCTTAATGTGAGAGACCAAGTTTCACACTCATGCAAAACTAAAGGCAAGATTATGGTTTGTGTACATCAAATATCACATTTCTCTCCCATTTCAGCATGAAAGTGAATAATCACAGAATGGCGACACGCAGGTCTAAGCCACAACCAAATCAGCAGCAGAATGCTGATAACAGTAACAACATCAGCCATCCTCCAGACTCTGCAAGGCCTCAAACTCCAACCAGACACCAGGAACCACAAGAAGCCTTGGATGGTACAGATCCGACCATGTCTGGTTCTCCGAACGAACGTGAAATGCCGCAAAGTCATATAGATGATGCAACATTTACAGTCCCTATTTCTGCTGAACAACGCAATTTTCATAATGCACCTGATGTTCAATATTTTGCAACATTTCCATACCCTTCACAGATTCCTACAGGAGCTACCTGCTTCCCAATGGTTCAGACACCTACTGTGAATGCCACACAGGCAACAGGAACTTTATTTTTCATGTTTGCCTCCCTTCCAGTTGTCCCTCCTATAGATATCTGTCATCAAACTTCCTCCACAAGCACCCAAACAGAAGTACCAAGACATTCAAATCAGTTACATCATGACTCTGATCCAACTCATTTCACACACAAAGAACAGAGTTATCTCAGAACATCTGGACCCATGGGGACCCACGAACCTCAGACACCTGAAAACGACCCAGTGCCACATGCCTTCCCTCATTCCTTTAACAGCAAAGATGGCATATCTATGATGACAGACTTGAGCAGAATATCACAAGATCGGAACTTAAGTAACTTGTCTGAGGGTCAATTTGTGGATATAAGTCGTCACAATAGACATCTTGGTCAGCGTCAAGGAAACATCCTCACGTCAACATCTTCCGTCAATCATCCCAGCTCACCTCTTGAATCCCCCTCCCTGAACCACCAGAGAGGTGGATCTTCACCACATAGCACACACAATACTAACGTGGGTCCGACAACATATTCTGGCCAATATTTAGGAAAGATTTCCTCAGTAATAGACTCAAGCCGGCTTCCTCCCTCAACGTTACCTTCAGATGTTCTTGCAAATCAAGGTACATCCATTCTCCAGCATCCAATACATATCCCCTCTAGAGTAGCATTCCAAGATAATACAGAACATAGTGATTTCAGTCCACACAACCTCCAGTCAATTCTTCCATCTGGGTTCGACATTCAAAACTATGTAGCCAGATCTACACCCAGCACTGGGAAGAATGTGAGAAACATTAGTAACCCCTGCTTCTGTGAGCATGTTCATGAACTTTCCTCAATAACAGATCCCATTAACTATGCAATCAACTCAAGAAGACGTTCGTTAAGTGGACTTTCAACTTGGGCCCCAGCTGCTACAAGCACACCAATTTCTTCTGGAAAAATTCAGACACCAGGAGAAAGGCGAACTGCAGCTCATCACATGAGTTTACCACCCAGAAAGTTGGTACCATCTTTACCATCTTTACCCTTTTTACCACCTTCAACATATTTACCAGTATTGAATAAAAGGGATTCAGGAACAGTTCTGCCCCAAGAAATGCCAAGCTCAAGACCTGAAAGGGTAGCCAGGGCGACCACTTCACCTTCTGAAGAGGAGTTAAGAGACATAATGGCAAATGCCATGCCCAACAGTCAAACCCCTCAGAAAACAGCTATGCCAACTGCTACAAGCACACCAAATTCATCTGGCAGAATTCTGACATCAGGCGAAAGGCAAACTGCACATTATCACATTAGTGTACCTTCCATAAGTTTGGTACCATCTTTACCATCTTTACCCATTTTACCACCTATACCATCTTTACCCATTTTACCACCTATACCATCTTTACCAGTATTGAATAGAAGGGAATCAGGAGCAGTTCTGACCCAAGAAATGCCATGGTCAGGACCTGAAAGGGTGGCCAGGGCGACCACTGTACCTTCTGAAGAGGAGTTAAGAGACATAATGGCAAATGCCATGGCCAACAGTCAAACCTCTCAGGAAACAGTTATGCCAACTGCTACAAGAACACCAAATTCATCTGGCAGAATTCTGACATCTGGCGAAAGGCAAACTGCAGATCATCACATTAGTGTACCTTCCATAAGTTTGGTACCATCTTTACCATCTTTACCCATTTTACCACCTATACCATCTTTACCAGTATTGAATAGAAGGGAATCAGGAGCAGTTCTGACCCAAGAAATGCCATGGTCAGGACCTGAAAGGGTGGCCAGGGCGACCACTTTACCTTCTGAAGAGGAGTTAAGAGACATAATGGCAAATGCCATGGCCAACAGTCAAACCTCTGGGGAAACAGTTATGCCCACTGCTACAAGAACACCAAATTCATCTGGCAGAATTCTGACATCAGGCGAAAGGCAAACTGCACATTATCACATTAGTGTACCTTCCATAAGTTTGGTACCATCTTTACCATCTTTACCCATTTTACCACCTATACCATCTTTACCACCTTTACCACCTTTACCATCTTTACCAAAACCTGAAAGGGTGGCCAGGGCGACCACTTTACCTTCTGAAGAGGAGTTAAGAGACATAATGGCAAATGCCATGGCCAACAGTCAAACCTCTCGGGAAACAGTTATGCCAACAAGTGAAGGTAAGTTCTGGTGTATTTATCTAATTACTAGAGATGTAAAAGCTTCAGTGGTGTTTATCGAAAGCAGACGTTAAAATAATATTAAGAACAGGAGAAAATGTAATCATGACTTTTCCATGAGTTATTTGTGAAATGCTCATATACAATATGAACATATCATTAGAGGTATGACTGCCCAATTGTTCCATATAAAACTTATAATCATATTTTGATTAATATTAGTACTGAGGATCTCACAAACCTTTTTTTGCGCGAATTCTCTTTACATTTTGATTCCATACCAGTCTCACACAAACTTTACTTTATGTGAAGCTCAAATCAAACTCAATTAATTTCGTTTTTCTTAAAAGAAATAAAAATAAATTGTGCAATTTGTTTCCAAATCTATAAAAAAGTAGAATGCTATTTTCTGGGATGTGGCGCCGTGTAGATCTTGTGTGAGACGACGTTTCGGAGGAATATATCGTCTCAAGCTTCAGGGTAGAAAAATCCGCAAGCGAGGAACCAGCATGCGCGGTTGGCTGCAGGTCCTTCCGCCGTGAATATGGAGGCAAGATGTTCCTACGAAACGTAGGTTCACATAAGATCTACACGGCGTCACATCCCAGAATACAGCATTCTTCATAGTCACCGCTGTGAAGACCTCAAATCTTACCTATAATGAAGTATATAGGAGATAGAATGTAATGGGGTGTGTAACTTTGGAACTGTTTTACTCAACACCCATGAAATAACTTCAAAACATGTGGAATAACAATGAATCCCCAGTCATATCCCATATTTACATAATAAGGCAGATTTTCAATAACTGATTTTTGAGCACTGTAAAACTATCAACATTCTCTGGGTACTTCCTTCCAGGTAATAACATGACTCCGGCAACACAATCTGGCCAACATGCAGGGAACATTTCGCCCATAACACCTCCCAGGATGATGCCAAGTGGATCCTCTGGGCACTCTCTTCCAGATATTAACTTGACTCCGGCAACCCATTTTGGCCAATATTCGGGGAACATTTCATCCATAACACCTCCCAGCATGATGACAACTGGGTCATCTGGGCACTTCCAACTTGATATTAACATGACTCCAACATCATATTCTGGCCAATATTCGGGGAACATTTCGTGCATAACACCTCCCAGCATGATGACAAGTGGATCATCTGAGCATTTCATTTCTGGGTGCAACGTGAATCCGACTACAGATGTTGGTGAGTAGAAGAAACAAGGCTCCTTAGTCTCCGCTTCAATCTAGGCATCAAAGCCAATAGAGGAATGGATATTTAGCGTCCAGCGCTCCAAAAATTAACATGTTTCCTGTAGCACATTTCGGCAAACATTCAGGGAACATTTCCTGCATGAAACCTTTCAGCATGATGTTAAGTGCATCCTCTAGCACTTTAGGTATTATTGTGAGCACAGGAGTTTCGAAGGCGCAAACGAAAAAGTAGTAACGAGGAGACTCGAACTTCAAAGAAACCAGTGGCGACGGCAATGTGTGTCGCAGTAAACACCAACCCCAAGGCGGTGCCCACCAGAAACTTCTTCAACCTTCTTAGAACATCCAGCATGAACACAGATTCTTTCGGCTCGGAGGCGAGTCCCCAAGAAGAGGCAACTCCTGGTAAAACATGTACGCTGCCCCCATTAGCGATAACTGCCACATCAAACCTGATACAGTTATAAAAGGCCATTAAGAGTGAAGCAAAAGAAGACTTTGAGTTCCGACACACCAGGAACGGAACCAAGGTATTCACTAAAACCTTGGAGAATTTTGCTACAGTCAAGTCCCACCTTGATACCCAAAACGTTCCTTAATTTACCTTTACCCTAAGTCCCTAAAACCCATCAAGGCCGCAATACGTCACTTCCCTATGGACACCCCTGCACAAGACATCTCTGATGGAGTGGTGTACCTATGCTTCGACATTATCAGCGTCAAGCAAATGTTAACCACTCCTCGGTCACTGTCCGAAGGAACCAAAAAAAAAAAAAAAAGTCTACTCCTACTTATGTGGTATTACCAATCTTTATTAAATAAATAAAGAATATGATGTAATTATGTTACTACTTACTTTTAATGAGATTGTTGAGTTTGTCGGCCCTAACAGAGTTCCTGGGTATCTGGCTCAATATTGGTCAACTTCAGTCGAAGATCGGCTCTCACACTAAGACGATTTCTGTATTTCGTTCTTAACTGAAGGAGCGATGGAAGTACTTCCTCACAGAGAGAACTGCGTGACGATTTTCAATGCTTCTGATAATTAATTCGGGAAATTCACTTCTCACTGAAGGCGAGATCCAGAATCGGACCAAACCAAATTCACGAAATATCATTTTAAGTCCACTGTCACTTGAAAGCTCAATTAACTATTTATTTTTCGATAACGAAAGGTCGTTCTTATGATTGTAAGCCTGAAATGGATCATGAACCCACAGAAAATTCCCGTAAATGTTATTCGGAAAATACGTTTCAAATTGTTGTTTCACCGTTTTGAGGTGGTCACAAACCCTTTCCAGAAAATCAGAATCAAGAGATATAATTTTCCACTAAAAATGATTACAATGTTGGAAAGGGTGCAAATTGTCTGACTTTTACATAACTAATCCATAACACCAGTTGTTTTCTCGAATGCCTTTATTTTGTTGTAGGCATCAAGAACAGTTAAAGAATTTCCCTGAAGGGAGAGATTTGGTTCATTTAATTTAGCAAAAATGTCCGAAAGTTGGGATAGTAGCAACAACCATGCTACGTCAACAAGGAGTGATGCAAAATCAGAATTGCGTTCATTTACAAACAATAAAACTTTGTGCCTTAATTGAAGTAGCCTTCTTAGTACTTTGCCCCTGGGAAACCAACGAATTTTAGAATGCAAAAAAAAGTTTGTATATTTACTGCCCATTTTATCGCAGAGCATGGAAAATTACCTGTTATTTAACGGTCGAGCCTTAATAAAATTAACTAGCTTTACAGCGTTGTCTAGCACAGTTCTAAATTCTGATGGCTTTCCTTTGGAAGCCAAAGCTTCCCTATGTATGAGACAATGTACCCAATTCATATCCGGAGCTACTTCCTTGACCTTAGAAACAACCCAATTATGCTTGCCTTAAGGGCGCTAGCTTCATCGGAACAGAAGCCCACACATTTTTCCCGCTTGATCCCTTTGTCTCTTATGCAGTTATTGAGAGTGTGAAATATTTCTTCTCCAGTTGTTCAGGTTGACAATGTTGTACAAAACAGAATATCGTCATGAATGTTATCATGTGCATATCATATGTTGCATATTAACTGCGCATCATTTGTAACATCAGTAAAGTAAGTAAAGTTATCCCTGTATCAGGCAATGGAGGCGCATAGGGTTGTGAGATGTTGAGGTACCCACATTTTCTAGACAGTCGGCTCACAGATGGCGGCAAGTTTGTCAGCCCTACGCGCCGGCCGCCCTTTATCCCCATGAATATTCCAAGAATATTCCTGGTACTCATTTCTGTTAGAGGCTGAGTCGACCCCAGAGTCATAGTGCGGCTGGAAGGATTAGGTCAATTGAAAAAATTCAATTACCTCATTGGGACTTGAACCCGCGACCTTCCGGCTTGTAGCATAGTGCCTCAACCAACTACGCTACCGCGTGCCCTACCTGTTTCGTTTGCTTTTCTTTTCAAAGTCCCCGTTCTTAGCCACTTTTCCATTATTCAAAATGTTTTCGAAAAGTATATAAAATCTGGAGTTAACTCACAACACACTTTGTCCACCTATCACTTAGCACTTATGAAGATATACTGAGCGTTCGTTGAAGGAGAAAAAGTGTATAACAATAAACACTAAGAAATTGGTTGAAATGTGGATAAAACATGTTTACTTCAAATCTAACAAAACAGCAAGGGAAGGCGGGAGCCATAAAACCATAATATTGTTTACTGCAACACCTTTCATTAGCCCTCTTTCTGCAGTTCCCAATTATAGGTGAGGTCCCTCCTCTGAAGTTAGTGACAATGCAGTCACACCCTCATACCCTGGAAATACCGGATTCTTGTCTGGTCATTGAAATGTTCATGAAAATTAGAAAGCTTGTTTTTTTTCAGTATCCATTTTATTTTAACAATTTTGACTTGCTATTTAATTTTAATTAGCTTGTACTCTTCTCCAAGTATAATCAGAATGATCAAGTCAAGGAGGATGAGGTGGAGAGGTCATGTAGCACGAATGGGGGAGACAAAGAATGCGTATAGGTTATTGGTGGGAAAGCCAGAAGGAAAGAGACCACTGGGAAGACCAAGGCGTAAAAATGGATCTTAGAGAGACAGGATGGGATGGTATTGATTGCATTGATCTGGCTCAGGATATGTACCAGTAAAAGGCTCTTGTGAACACGGTAATGAACCTTCGGCTTCCATGAAATGCTGGGAAATTCTTGAGTAGCTGCAGAATTGGCAGCTCCTCCAGAATGGCTCAGCTCCATGAGTAAGTAAGAAAGTATGTATTTTTACACCGAACAATTTCCCATGTTAAGATCTCAGTAGGGACATCAATCAGCATGAGAGGGCTTACTTAAATTCTGCGGCGGCTATCTTCCAACTGTCTCTGCCCGTGACTGGATCTCAAATTCAAAGTCACATTGCGACTGACGGTCAGTCAGTCAGTAAATCTTGGTGTCGAGCCCTATCTGGGGCTCATGACCAGATATTAATTATTACCGTTTGACAGTTACGTTCTTGTTTCTGTAGGGCGCCCTCTCTGACGTGGCTTACGCTCGTTACCGCGGAAGTGCATTATTCCCGCTGGTTCAACAACCCGTTGCTTAGGAAATTCATTATTTCCCGTTGTTACGTAACGCTTATAACAGTTCGTTGTAACCTTGGAGACTCAGAATTACCATGGAAGTAACCCTTCCTGATTCCAAACACGTGACAATATTTTGTCGGGAATCGAGATGCTGTTCTTCGGTCGTTCAGCCAGTAACCTCGCCACTTTTCCCAGTAATTCCGGCTGCTTCCGCCCCTTATGGAGCCCAAATGTGTGTTAACGTGTTCACAATAGTCCGTCATAGATTGTACAAAACCCAAAGAATTCACAGAGTCCGCTTTCCTTCGTCATATTTCGTAACGCGACATTTGTTTACGACGAGGAATTTTTAACCCCTAGCAGCAACCAGGGCAATTGTTCCCAGGATCTCTTTTGTAAGTACCAAACAGAGCAGATAATGCAGATATCAACAACAAAAATGAAAACAAAAAGTTCTGGGAAGAACTAATCCCCTAAATTCATTTGATACGACACGGATCCAATAGAAAACGACACTTCCAACAATTCTTCGTTGCAGCGGGAATGTATTTACCGAGTTGCTACCTAGCAACGATAAGGGGGATACAATGTACCGAGCCTCGGTCTATCAGCGAGAGGAGGGATATACACAGACACAGAGACTGATGGTAGGCATTTACGAAGTAAAAATGCCGAATTGGTCTACATACCAAATTCCATTAACATTGGTTCAGGCATTCAAAAGTTAATAGGGGCGGAGGGATTCACAGACAGACTGGGATGGAGATCGCATAAGCCCACTTTTATGTAAGATTTGAGGGTTTCACGGCGGTGACTATGAAGATTGCCGTCTTCTGCGATGTGAGGCGATTATATTTAAACAATCTGGATATAACCCTGTGAAGACCGATAGAAACTCATCTACATTTCGGAGAAATGTACTGTACCGTTCTTGTTGGCAACCCGTTTGCCTTACTCTTCGATCCCGAAGATGGTGGCAGAATGTTCTTCCGAAAGGTAGGTGAACTTCTGTTGGACTACAAGGCGTCACATTCCAGAAGGGAGTACTTCGGTTGAATGATTGGTATTCGGACTGTATGGTCGAGGAATTAGGGTTCGATTCACGCGCGTTTAAGCTACATTTTACTTTGTCTTGTACATTTAGCACAATGCATGTTATAAGAATTAGAACCAGTTACAAACAGCAATTAATATTACGAAATTCTTCAATTCATCTCATATTTGTAAAATTCGCTGCTTTACCGTTTCTCACGGTGTTGTCGCTTGCAGATTTCTTATACTTTTTCTTCTACCCTGAAGATGGGGGGCGATACGTTCCTCCGAAACGTCGGTTAACACCACATATACACGGTGCCAAATCCCAGAAGACTGCTTTCTTCATCTTAATAATTTTTGGCGAGGCGTACAAATTATTAACCTTTCATTATGCAGTTTTCTCCAGTCTACTGTTATGCCTTCTTAGGTCCAAATATTCCCCTCAGCACCTGGCTCCCGAATACCCTTCCATGTATGATTTCCCCTTAATGTGAGAGACACACTTATGCAAAACTAAAGGCAAGATTATGGTTTGTGTATATCAAATATCATATTTCTCTCCCATTTCAGCATGAAAGTGAATAATCACAGAATGGCGACACGCAGGTCTAAGCCACAACCAAATCAGCAGCAGAATGCTGATAACAGTAACAACATCAGCGATGCTCCAGAATCTGCAAGGCCTCATACTCAAATCAGACACGAGGAACTACAAGAAGCCTTGGATGGTACAGGTCCAACCATGTCTGGTTCTCGAAACGAACGTCAAATGCCGCAAAGTCCTTTAGATGATGCAACTTTTACAGTCCCTATTTCTGCTGAACAACGCAATTTTCATAATGCACCTGATGTTCAATATTTTGCAACATTTCCATACCCTTCACAGATTCCTACAGGAGCTACCTGCTTCCCAATGGTTCAGACACCTACTGTGAATGCCACACAGGCAACAGGAAGTTTATTTTTCATGTTTGCCTTCCTTCCAGTTGTCCCTATAGATATCAGTCATCAAACTCCCCCCACAACCACCCAAACAGAAGTGTCAGGACATTCAGATCAATTACATTGTGACTCTGATCCAACTCAATCCACACACAAAGAACAGAGTTATCTCAGAACATCTGGACCCATGGGAACCCATGAACCTCAGACACCTGAAAACGACCCAGTGCCACATGCCTTCCCTCATTCCTTTAATGGCAAAGATGGCTTATCTATGATGACAGATTTGAGCAGAATATCACAAAATCGGAACTTAAGTAACTTGTCTGAGGGTCAATTTGTGGATATAAGTCGTCACAATAGACATCTTGGTCAGCGTCAAGGAAAGATCCTCACATCAACATATTCCGTCAATCATCCCAGCTCACCTCTTGAATCCCCCTCCCTGAACCACCAGAGAGGTGGATCTTCACCACATAGCACACACAATAATAACCCGGGTCCGTCAACATATTCTGGCCAATATTTAGGAAAGATTTCCTCAGTAATAGACTCAAGCCGGCTTCCTCCCATTACCTTCAGATGTTCTTGCAAATCAAGGTACATCCATTCCCCATCATCCAGTACATATCCCCTCTAGAGTATCATTCCATGATAATACAGAACATAGTGATTTCAGTCCACACAACCTCCAGTCAATTCTTCCATCTGGGTTCGACATTCAAAACTATGTAGCCAGATCTACACCCAGCACTGGGAAGAATGTGAGAAACATTAGTAACCCCTGCTTCTGTGAGCATGTTCATGAACTTTCCTCAATAACAGATCCCATTAACTATGCAATCAACTCAAGAAGACGTTCGTTAAGTGGACTTTCAACTTGGGCCCCAGCTGCTACAAGCACACCAATTTCATCTGGCAGAATTCAGACATCAGGAGAAAGGCAAACTGCACATTATCACATTAGTGTACCTTCCATAAGTTTGGTACCATCTTTACCATCTTTACCCATTTTACCACCTATACCATCTTTACCAATATTGAATGGAAGGGATTCAGGAACAGTTCTGCCCCAAGAAATGCCATGGTCAAGACCTGAAACGGTAGCCAGGGCGACCACTTTACCTTTTGAAGAGGAGTTAAGAGACATAATGGCAAATGCCATGGCCAACAGTCAAACCTCTCGGGAAACAGTTATGCCAACTGCTACAAGCACACCAAATACATCTGGCAGAATTCTGACATCAGGCGAAAGGCAAATTGCACATTATCACATTAGTGTACCTTCCATAAGTTTGGTACCATCTTTACCATCTTTACCCATTTTACCACCTATACCATCTTTACCATCTTTACCACCTTTACGAAGACCTGAAAGGGTGGCCAGGGCGACCACTGTACCTTCTGAAGAGGAGTTAAGAGACATAATGGCAAATGCCATGGCCAACAGTCAAACATCTCGGGAAACAGTTATGCCAACAAGTGAAGGTAAGTTCTGGTGTATTTATCTAATTACTAGAGATGTAAAAGCTTCAGTGGTGTTTATCGAAACAGATGTTAAAATAAAATTAAGAACAGGAGAAAATGTAATCATGACTTTTCCATGAGTTATTTGTGAAATGCTCATATACAATATGAACATATCATTAGAGGTATGACTGCCCAATTGTTCCATATAAAACTTATAATCATATTTTGATTAATATTAGTACTGAGGATCTCACAAACCTTTTTTTGCGCGAATTCTCTTTACATTTTGATTCTATACCAGTCTTACACAAACTTTACTTTATGTGAAGCTCAAATCAAACTCAATTATTTCGTTTTTCTTAAAAGAAATAAAAATAAATTGTGCAATTTGTTTCTAAATCTATAAAAAAGTATAATGCCATTTTCTGGGATGTGGCGCCGTGTAGATCTTGTGTGAGACGACGTTTCGGAGGAATATATCGTCTCAAGCTTCAGGGTAGAAAAATCCGCAAGCGAGGAACCAGCATGTGCGGGTGGCTGCAGACTCTTCCACCGTGAATATGGAGGCATGACGTTCCTACGAAACGTAGGTTCACACAAGATCTACATGACGCCACATCCCAGAAGACAGCATTCTTCATAGTCACCGCTGTGAAGACCTCAAATCTTACCTATAATGAAGTATATAGGACACAGAATGTAATGGGGTGTGTAACTTTGGAACTCTTTTACTCAACTCCCATGAAATAACTTCAAAACATGTGGAAAACAATGAATCCACAGTCGTATCCCATATTTACATAATCGGGCAGATTTTCAGTAGCTGATTTTTGAGCACTGTAAAACTATCAACATTCTCTGGGTACTTCCTTCCAGGAAATAACATGACTCCGGCAACACATTCTGGCCAATATTTGGGGAACATTTCATCCATAACACCTCCCAGTATGATGACAACTGGGTCCTCTGGATACTCTCTTCCAGATATTAACATGACTCCGGCAACACATTCTGGTCAATATTTGGGGAACATTTCATCCAAAACACCTCCCAGCATGACAACTGATGATGACCTGGACCCCTCAGGTACAGTGCGTACAATCAAGTGCGCGCCGCAGCTGCAATTTGCCGTGAGTTATACCACCGCAGAACGGATGCAGTCGCGGGGAGTGTTGCAACTCCTGCCCGCTACTGCATCCGTTCTGCGGTGGTATGACTCACGGCAAATTGCAGCCGCGGCGCGCACTTGATTGTACGCACTGTATTTTGGAAGACCCCAGTGTGAAGTATTTATTTTCGCATTTTGATATCCATCTAATCAGAATAAAACAATTTAAATTCAAGCTTGGTACTTGTATTAAGGATGACATAATTTGACAGCAATGCTGCAGCTCAGGCAATTAGCCATCAGCTTCCCATTGCATAGATGGACGCAGTTATCTCTGAGGCTTTTTTTCTATAAGAACTCCCATTTCCCCTCCCAGTTTTCATTCCACTAACTGCTCCACATTCATTAATAATCCTATCATTGATGCTATATAGCCTTAAGGCTGTCAACATAGTAAAATAAGCAACTTGAAAATATTTACATAATTTTATTAATATTCTTGGCCCAAGGCATCCTTGAAAATACTCCGTACCTTGAGGAGGCAAGCTAATAGGAGAGAAGTCTTATGAGTACAACAATATCTTCAATATCGACATTTTGTTTCACATCGTATGTTGAAAATTGAATTCTGAATAAGATTATGTAACCATCTGTGTAATTACTTCTTGATGACGCATCTTAAAGAATGTTTTTGACAGGGAGTAGTTACAGAAACGAATGTCTGCTTTGCAGGACATCCAAATGCTGAGGGATATACAAGTATGCCACAGGAGGACCCAGATGACCAGGATTCATAATCACAAGACAATGAAGTCTAAACTTCTCATCCACATGATGAATGTAGCACATCGGGCCCATACATAATGATGAACAGTGTCGCTAATGACTCAGGCATTTAGATTACAGTATTTAGAAGAAACAAGAAGACGGGAGACTGACATTAAGATTATGTTCAATGAATTTTGAAATAAATTTGTATATTATTTCTAGCTAGTAACTAACTTCATAGTGCTGAGTCTTTCTTGGGATGCCCCCAGTCACTCTGCTACTCAAGAATTTCCGAACATTTTAAGGAAGCCGAATGTTCAATACTGTGTTAAGAAGAGCCCCCTATTGGCCCTCATCCTGAGGCAGATGAACCCAGTCCATACCACCCTGACCTATTTCCCTGAGATACATTTTAATATTACCCTCCCCACTTATGCCCATGCCTTCCCAGCGGTTTCCTTAATCCTGGTTTTACCATGAAAATCCTTCATGCATTCCTCTGTGCCTCCAAGCACTCTACATGCCCTGCCCATCCCATCATCCTTTACTTGATAATTCAAACTATATTTAGCAAAGCGTATAAGTTATGAATTTCCTCATTATGCAATTTTATCCATCCTCCTTACTTACTTACTTAATTACTTATGGAGCTGAGCCCTTCTTGAGGAGCTGCCAATTCTGCAGCTACTCAAGAATTTCCCAGCATTTAATGGAACCCAAAAGTTCATTACCGTGTTCAGAAGAGCCCTCCACTGGTCCCTATCCTGAGCGAGATCTATCCAATCCATACCATTCCATCCTATCTCTCTAAGTTATCCAACCTCCTAACACTTCATAACTTTTCAGTTCAAATACTCTTCTGAGCACTTTTTTCTAAAATTCCTGAATTTCCCTCATTGTCAAGAGACAAAGTTTTGTAAGGTCATGTTTCCTGTCCTGTACTACCCCCTTCTTCCTTCTGTGTCTCACTCTTTGCCCACCTTACTTTTCTACCCTGTCTCCCCTTCCTTTACTTGGCCCCTTGAAGCTATTGTCTGGGGCACTAATATCCCACCAACAGCTGCATTAACTTCCCTCCTGGCTTCCAAATTTCATTTCGTTGTTTAGCTTCGTACTGTTATCAGTTATTACCATTATTTGTACTTTTAATATTACTTTTCTTTTCACACAATTACTTTGTCACCTCATGAGCTTTTCTTAATAAATATACCCATTATGTGTCTGTGATTTTTGCATCATTTATTTACATGAGCTACTGTGACTCCTTGGTAGCTGCTTCCTTCTCCTCTAGTATGGGGTGTGAAAATTTCACAGGCAAAATTATACTTTTGTATATTTTATCATTTAGGTTTTTAAACAGCAAACA